GGAATAGTTTCCACTCTGGGCCCCCAGCAGGTGCAGTTCTCAGGGACTGTGTTCAGGCAGCAGAGAAAGGAGAGGATGGTGGGGCCCCAAGTCCCCTACCCCAGGCCCACCTCTTGCAGCTGCTCTATGCTATCAACCCCCACCAAAGCCTCCTCCCTTGTTCCCGATAGTAAAATGATGGCAGCCTGTTTTAAAAGCTAGACTCCCAGAGAAGCTAACAATGCTGTGTGGCAACAAACGATGATCTAACTAGAGTCTGTTTTTTAAAGTCCATCATTCTGATAAAGGCAATCATTTAATCCTTCCAAGGACCCATTAGAGGACTTTCTTATCTCTACCTGAACACAGAAGGTTGGGCAACTTGTACAAGGTCCAAGAGTCAATAAAATGCAGAACAAAGAGTAGAAGCCAGTATGTGCCCTTTGGACCAAAAACTGCAGCCTGGGTCCCCACAACCAGCATAAAACATGAAGTGGATTTCAAAGTGGAAGATCTATGCTGCACAAGAAGCCTGGAAGCCAAAGCTCTCTAAGCATGTATTTAGATTTTTATCTTTTGAGTGTGTGTGGGTGCCTGCATACTACAGACACACACACACACACACACACACAGAGGGACAGGAGGTAGATTTCCTTCATCATGTTTATGGGGGTTCTGGGAACTGAACTCCAATTGTCAGGTTTGGGTATCAAGCACCACTGAGTTGTGTCTTAGCCCCTAAAACAATTATTTTTTATTGTTCCTTGTCAGGTGCCCTGAATTGTTTAGTCTGTCTCACTAATCCAGAAAGGCACACACCTGCAAGACACAAAGGCACTTTCTCTGTCATGCTGTTTTTACAAAAAATTTCAAAAAAAAAAAAAAAAAAAGTAGCATATATTTATAAAACCAGCAAACAGCTGTTTCTTGTTCCAACCCCTTCACACAAGCGTCAAATCAGTATGAATGACTCCCACTGTCCTTGGGATTGCCAGAGCTAAAATTTATGTTTCTCTTTAAATTCATGCTTGACTGTACTCTAAATTTTGCTTATCCAGTTGCCTCAACCTCTTTCCTGCCCTCCCTTGGCCTCACGTTCCTTAGCTTGGGCCCCACACCATCTATGTGTCCCACGCTGGTTTTTTTTCCCTCTTGAGACAGGGCCTCATTATGCAGCCCAGGCTGGCTTGGAATTCAATCATCTTGCCTGAATCTCCCCAGTGCAGGGATTATAAGTCTACACCACATCTGGCTGGAAATGTAACATTTTGACAGCTAACCTTCTCTATTGTTCCCAGCTCCATCTCAGGATGTGACCTAATGTCATAGGTGCCTCAGGTCCTGGGCAGGAACTACTCCATACAAAAGAGTGAGCAACCAACAGCCAAGTAAACTAACCCTTCAAAATCACATTTTGTTTTAATAAATTTTTTGTTTTTTGAGATAGGGTTTGTGTAGCTCTGGCTGTCTTGTAACTCACTCTGTAGACCAGGCTGGCCTCATCCACTTGCCTCTGCCTCCCAAGTGCACTACCACCACCAGGCTCAAATTCCTAATTTTTTAAAAATTTATTTTTTACATGTATGTTTTATCTACATGTATGCACCATGTGTGCATACACCATGTGTGTCTGGTTCCTTCAGAGGTCAGAAGAGGGCACTGGATTTCTTGGAACTGCAGTTAGGGATGGTTGTAAGGCATTATGGGAACCTAACCCAGGTCCTCTGCAAGAGCTCTCAACCATCTCTCAGTCCCAATTCTTAATTTTAAAAAGAGCGAATTTGGGGGCTGGAGAGATGGTTCAGTGGTTAAGAGCACTGATTGCTCGCCTAGAGGACCCTGGTTCAATTCCTAGCACACACGTGATGGTTCACAACTACCTGTAATTCCAGTTCTGGGGGACCGGACACACATAGACACACATGCAAGCTAAGCACAATAATGCTTCAGTTCCCCTGTGTACAGACAGCATCCTGTTTTCCTCACTCACTGACCTTTGGCTGACGCTAGTATGAACACAGGCGATAGAGAAGTCCCAGGAGACCCAGCTTTCAGTTCCTGCAGACAGATATGCATTTCTCATTGTCAGGTGCTCCGCCTCTAACCCAGAACTGTACACATTCATAAAAGCCAAAGTCCAGGCATTTTCTCTGCTATGCTGATAGCCACAAATCTTTTCAAGAAATTTCATTAAAACAAAAATGTGATTTGTTTCTAAACTTTCATATTCCCACCAACAGTGCATAAAGGTTCTGATTTCTCTATACTTGACATTTCTTTGAATAATAGTGGTCCTACTGGGTGTGAGGTAGTATCTCAGTGTGATTCTATTTTGAACAGCTTTTCTTTTATCTTTTGGTTCACAACAAAGTTGAGACAATACAGCAATTTCCTACATACGAAGAATCATGGAGACATCCTGACACCTTCAGCAGAAGGCACATTGTAACCGATGAACCTATTCAAACACATCATCCCCAAAGTCTTCACTTACATTAGGGTTCACTCTTAGTTCATATTTTACCAGTCCGAACAAATGGCTCATGATCTGTAGCCACCATCAAGCGTACCATACAGCTGGGGTGTGGTGGTGGTGCACACCTTTAATCCCAGAGCTTGGGAGGCAGAGGCAGGCAGATCTCTGTGAGTTTGAGGCCAGCCTAGTCTACAGAGCAAGTGCCAGGATAGGTTCTAAAGCTACATAGAGAACCCTGTCTTGACCCCCCCCCCCCCAAAGTACCATACAGAGAATAGCCTTAAAAGGTTCTGAGCCACCACGTGAGGGAACCAAACCCAGGTCCCCTGTAAGAGCAGTGAGTGCTCTTACACGCTGAGACATCCCTGCAGCCCGCCACTGTCACCTCAGCTTTGGAACCTGTATAACCCAGGAACTCAGCCCTCCCCCACTGAGCCTCACTGCCAGGTGCTAACTTACTGCTATCCCTTTTTTGAGGACACCAGTATCATACAATTGGAATCAAGAATGTAACCCTTTCACACCTGGCCTTTCATTCAGTAATAGCCTTCTATATCTTTTGTGACCAACTCATTCCTTTTTAGTACTAGTTATTCCATTGTATCATTCACCCTCTCATGTACTGAAGGATGCCTTTGCTGCTTCCAAGTTATGGCAATTATAAATAAGGCTGCTATGAAAGCTCACATGCAGGTTTTTATATGAGCATACTTCTAATTCCCCTGGGGAAACATAAAGGGGCAAGATTACCAAAGACACTGTATGTTGATTTTTGTTTAATGCTAATCAGCTGTCTTCCCATCACTGTTTCCATGAGTGATGCAAGCCCCTGCCACTCCACAATCCTACTTGCATTTGTTGTTTCAGCTTCTACAGTCACAACAGTGTGCTTGGTGCAGTCTGGAGCCCTCCTCCCCTGCTGCAGAGGACATCTCATACACGCATTTGCCATTTCTGGTAGGCTTGTTTGTTTGTTTTTGTTTTTGTTTTTGAGACAGGCTCTCACTATGTACTCCTGGTTACCTAGAACATACTATGTACATCAGGCTACCTCTGCCTCCAAAGCATGCCACTGCACACGGCTTTGCTATTGTTTAATCAAGTCAATTGTCTACTGTTTTATATTTCTTATTACTTTTATTACATTTATTTATTTATTTTTACTGTGTGTGTATTACTGCATGGAGATCAGAGAACTTGTAAGAATCAGTTGCCTCCTTTCACCATGCGGTCACAGGACAGCAGAGTCCATATTTTTTCCCCCATGATTAGCATCTTTTCCTATGTTTGTTGGCCTACTGCAGCCAATCACACCAAACGCTATTCAAGACATTCTAAAAAACAAAACAAAACAAAACAAAACAAAAAAAAAAAACCCTGCTATTCTCTAAAAAGCTCTTTCCACACTCAGGAAAGGACCTCCCTGTATCAACTGGAGAGGGCAGCTGACTGCGCTTACAATGCTCAAAGGCAAGCTTGCCTTAGCCAGAAAAGGGACCTGGGTAGTGACAGATACAATGGTCCAGCTATTAGAGGAAAAGGATAAGCTCGCCCCCTGGTGGCAGCAGAGACAATAGAAGGAAAAAATATTAAAAAGGCACACACACACAAAGGCAAAAAAGAAAAATGTACAGCCAACATGATGAACACATTCCATCCTGCCAGGGTCTGGAGGACAAGAGCATAACAGATTAAAAACAGTCCACTCATCCAGACAGTTTAAGATGTTCAGTCCTGCCTGGGATAGTGGTACATGTCTGCACCAGAGGCTGAGGCAGGGCTGAGAGTTCAAGACCAGCACAGGCAGCACAAGGGCCTGTTCAAAAGGTCCTTGTGGTAGTGCAGGTCTTTAATCCCAGCACTCAGGAGGCAGAGGCAGGTGAATCTCTGTGAGTTCGAGGCCAGCTTGGTCTACCGAGTGAGTCCCAGGACAGTCAGGGCTATTATACAGAGAAATCATCTCAAAACTCCCACCACCACCACCACCACCACCACCACCACGACGCACACAAAGAAAAGGCTCTGTTCAGAGGACAACTTTGTGCTATCCTGTCACTAACTCCTAGCTGGAGCTGCTTCAGGACTCATCGATCTTCCCATGAGAAGCAGAGGTAGCTGAGGAGGTTAATTTTTAACTACAAATGTCTTGTCTAGAGGAGGGGATGCTTAGCTTTTGTCTTCTTTGGCAAATGCAAAGCATACTATAGCTACCTTCAACCTTCATGTAGCACATAGCTCCTGATCCTTATCAATCTGTCGAAAGGTCTGCCTGGAAAGGCAAGGAGCCCACACCATGGTTATGTAAGGCAGAAGGCGGCTGTCGTGACTGCGCTGTTCTTACCTCCTCAGGACCTCTGTTATGCAAATTAGGATACTTTCTAATTTTCAAGTCTTCTGATTCTTTGAGGCCTGTGGCTGCTAAATTTCCCAACTTCTCTTTGTCTCCCCAAACCCAAAAGACTATGGCTCTACAGTTTGCTGCTCCTATTTTTCAGAGGTCCAGTTTAGAAATTAAGTCCCCCATAATGTGGATGTCTTCATGGAATACTCACAAATGACTGTTTACTAAAACACATACTTCCAGCCACTCCCAGCAAGTGACACTGGGAGCAGATGGCACTGACTGACCTCCAAGGTCTCATCTGGTCTCACAGAAGAGGTACCAGTGTCAAGCTGTCTGTTGCTTGGAAGGGAAGGTGGGCCACACGCTACCCAAATGTTAAAGGTTGGACGTTTTTCTGCTGTTCTTTGTGCAGCTGCTGGGCTCTATTTTTCAGCATTTCGGCCTTGGCCTCATCCTTATCAACACCATCCCCCAGTTTGTACATGCGGCTGGCATTGGCGCAGGCCCAGACGTGGCCCAGGTCACAGGCCTTCATTGAGTATTTACATGCTAGACCCATGTCCTTGGGAAAGCCAGGGGCACCCTGTAGAAACATGGCACTGAGGTTGAAGCAGCTGGCTGCGTAGCTACCGTCACAGGCCCTGGTGTAGTAGTCCCTGGCCTTTGCCAGGTCAGGCTGGCCATCCTCATTGACCTGTCCATCGTGTGCCAGGAGTCCAACATTGTGACAGGATTCCACAGACTTCTTTCCTGGTTTCTCACAAGCCATCAGAAAGCAGGCAGATGCAGCCTTTAGGTCCTGAGTCAGGCCACCTACAAACAGAAAACAAAGAAAAAGTAAACCTGAGGGCTGGGCAGACAGCTCAGTGGTAGAGCTCTTGCCTAACAATGTCAGAAGGCTTGGGTTCAATCTCCAGTACCTCCCGTGACCCACCAGCCAGGGCTGAACCTGTTTCTGGCCAAGGTTAGGAAACAAGCCCTGAATTAAGTCCTGTGAGCTAAAGTAACAGGGAGGAAGGCAGCCAGTGTGGTAGCCATGGACTCTTTGGTTCATGTGCTAGCTTACAGGGAAACCAAGACAGGAAGAGACACGTCAACTCAAGAGCACCAGGGACTACCACATGAGGCTACAGCGAGTACAGAGCATTTCCAAAATAAGCAACTGAATGCTTCTTAATCTAAATATACAGTTGGCCCTACATATTTATGAGTTCTGCATATGCAGATTCCATTAGTTATGAACACTATTATAGCATTAAAACCAGACAGCAGCTGCAAATTTAACCAACCATGGACTGAAAATATTCAGGGAAGAAACATGTCTATGCTAAAAATGTATGGACTTCCCCATCATTCCCAGAACAGTACATGGTACAACTATTTACATTAGTGTTTATACTGATTAGGTAGCACAAGTAGAAATGATTTGAAGTAAAGGAAGGATGTGCGGGTGTTTATGCCAATTCTCTGTGAACAAGGATCTGGAGTACCTAAGGATTCCAATCCTACAAAGTTTTGGGCAGACCAAAGGAAAAAAGCTAAAGCTAAGGTGTGTGTGGTGCACGCCTTTAATCCCAGCATTTGGGAGGCAGGCAGGTGGATGCCTGTGAGTTGCAGGACAGCCAGAACTACCTAATGGAGAGACCCTATTACAAACAAAACAATGCCAACAAGGGAGAAATAACATGGGAGCTGGGTGGTATATGCCTATGATGCTATAGCACTGAGTAAGTAGAGGCAGAGGAATCCAAAGTTTGAGATCACCTAAGCTATATAATAAAGTTGTTTCAAAAAATGTAGCATTCAATCTTTTCTTATCTATTTAGTGTGGTGGCTTGGAACAAAAATGCCCCTCAAAAGGAGTGGCACTATTAGGTGTGGCCTTGTTAAAGAAAGTGTGTCATTGTGGAGGTAGCCTTTGAGGCCTCATATATGCTCAAGCCACACCTAGTGAGACCACTTCCTGTTGTTACATCTCCTGATGTAGAACTCTTATTAGTTACCTCTCCAGCATCATTCATGCAGCCATGTCCCAACAGTGATAATGGACTGAACTCTGAACTGTAAGCCACCTAATTAAATGTTTTCCTTTATAAGAGTTGCCATGGTCATGATGTCTTTTCACAGAAATAGGCATCCTAACTAAGACAGAAATTGGTATCAGGGACCAATCAGGGGTATTGCTATGATAGGCCGGACCTTGTTTCTATTTGGAATAATGTGGACTCTGAATTTGGGGTTGGAAAGCAGTGGAATCCAATAAGTGCTGCTTAATGGGCCACACTAGTAGGAGCAAGGAAGATAGTGGTGCTAAGAGTTATCTGAGGAAAATATTAGTATGTAGCCTAGAGACTGTTCTTGTGATATACTGGTGAAGAATGTGACTGCTTTTTGACCTTGTCCCAAGAGTCTGCCTGAGGCACAAATGAAGAGATTAGGATTAATTCCCTTGGCAGAGGATATCTTGAAACAGCCTAGTACTGTCTGTGTGGTGTAGTTATTACTAGCACTCTTATAGAAATTTATAATGAAGAGGGGCAAGCTGAGTAGGAAAGTATTTGAGGAGACAAGGAGCACCAAAGTGGAATGGAGCTGAGCCCTGTGTTCAAGGAGATACACAGATTAAGAATGGAATAAAGGGAATGGTGACCTCAGAGCAAGATCCCACCCAGCTAATGTCCAACTTGTGAAAAGGAACTAAAGAGAGCTTAGAGCTGGGTGTGGTGGGACATGCCTTTAATCCCAGCACTGGGAAGACAGAAGCTGGCAGATCTCTGAGTTTGAGGCCAGTCTGGTCTACACATCTAAGTTCAGGACAGTCAAGTTTAGGAAATCATCAAAACCAGAAAGTTGGTGAAGATGTAACTGAATGAGGGAGCCATTTCCATTTCCAGCTCCAGCAAGCAGCAGAACTTGACAACTTTGGCCACATGGCACTGGCTTTAGAGTAAGGATAAGAAGAAAGGGGCTATGGAATTTGCCTCTGCATTGAAAGAAAGCTTCTGAGGCCAAGCAGGTACCAGGAGTGTCCTTAAATGAAGGTCTAGAGAGGCCATTGTGTGAAGCTGTGAAATTGAAGCTTGTATTGCATTGAAGACCCCAAGATGTTGGAGATGCCAGAACCGTGGGATGCCTGCTGAGGAAAGCTGCTAATGGGGAGTGGAACCAGCCCGAGAGAGAGAAGTGTGTTGCAGTCAAGGTTGAAAGGAGTTGGAGATCTGAAGAGCGTTTTAACATCAGACATGGAGAGGCAGAGTTTGGAGTTTGCCCAGCAGGTTTTTGGTCTTGTTTGGTCCAATATTTCCTCACTCTCCTCCCTACCCTATGTTTTGGAATGGTAATGTATATCCTGAGACTTTATCTGTTGGAAGTATGTGATCTGCTTTTTTATTCTGACTTACAGTTAAGGGAATGCATGAATGTCAGAAGATAGTTTGAACTTTTTTTTAACCTATGAGTACAGGTGAGTGCCTGCATGTATATATGTGCATTACATGCACGCCTGGTACCCAGAGAGGCCAGAAGAGAGCATCACACCCCCTGGAATTAGGGCTACAGATAGTGTAACTGCCATGTAAGTGCTGGGAATCCAACTCGGGTCTCTTAGGAGAGTAGCCAGTGTGAACCACAGTAAGCCACAACTCCAATCCTTTTTGGATTCTCCGTTGGGGTTGGGTTACTTACCCTGAAGAAAGCACAGCAGGGAGACATGGAGAGTTCAGTCACTGGGATCAAATGTCCCTGACAATAGCTGACAGGCACCAAGGCCTTTGCCATCAGGCCCATGAGTAAGTCAACATCTAAATGGCAACTTCAATCAAACCTTCCAACAACTGCAGAACTACTTCTCTTGTCAGGGTTTTGACCAAAGCATCCAGCTAAACTAACCCCTATTCCCAACTTACTAAAGCAAAGAGGGAAACTTGTTATCTGGCAATACTTAGCATTGCTTAGAATATAATGGCAATTAGGGCATGAGAAAAAATAAAAGGGCATAATTACTCAGTTTTTATTCTGTGCTCAGCATATCCTGACAGCTTTACTTTTATCTTTAAATTGTATTTATTTCAAGTATTTTGCCTGTGTAAATGTATGTGCACCATGTGTGTATAGTGTCTGAGGTCAGAATCCCCTGGAACTGGAGTTACAAATGGTTGAGAACCTGGGTCCTCTGTAGGAACAAGTGCCCCTAACATCTGAGCCATCTTACAGCCCACATACTAGTATCTTTACCTGAACTGCCTGAAGTAACTCCATTTTGTCCTAGTTTATCTAACTGCACACCCCAGCACTACATCCTGCCCAGCAGAACGCTCTCATGCAGCTTCCGGAGGTTCATTGTTTTACCACAGAAAACAAACTGTTTTAACAAACTGACCCCACATGCAGACATCCCCCTCTACCCTGCCATGCCTCTGATGTGATGTAATTGTGATTTGGACTTTAGAAACCCACCCTGCTTCAATTCAGGTGGAGAGTTCTTTCTGGTGTGAGCCTATTCTAAGCCACTAGCAAATAAAGGACTCTTTATTGGCCTTGTATTCTTGGTGGTCTATAATCTATTCAAGTGGTATTTCATACTTATACTATGGAGTAAGAACTACTTCTTTCATTTACTTTTTCTTTTGGATTCTGAGGCAAGATCTCAATCTGTAACCCAACTACATTAAGTCCAGGCTCTATTTTCCCCCAGTCTGCAGGTGATAAAACGGGAACATGAAGTTACAAGTGGCTAGCTAAGGCCTAATTGTATGGAGCTATACGAGGGAACCAACAGGCAGCATTGGAACTCATGGAACACTGCTGGGTAGAAAGCAGAGCCACATCTGAGTGAGCCCTAGAGGCAGAACTACACACCCTGAGGACCTCATGCTGTCATAAAGAGCATAACTCTGCTTATTACCTTCATGGTCATAAAATAAAAATAAATAAAAATGAAGGGAAACATCAGGGTAGAAGAACAGAACTGAGAAAGAATAGAGTGAACATGTAACAGAAAGAATAATCACCATATCCTCATAATCTATGGGCTGTGTGAAAATTCTCAGCGGGTTTCTAGCCCTCACTGTTCAGTGTCACTGGTACTTAACAATATTAGTGATTGACTTTTCCAAGCATGGCTGCTGGAGCAGATTAATGACTCAACCACCATCATTAGAGAGAATTTAGACATGTAGATTGTTAGTAAAGTTGGGTTAAGATGTTTTTGTTAATGGCTTTGAGGTAGAAAACCTTGGGGAACAATTTAAAGTTAAAGGCATACTTAAAGTACTTGAGGTCAGAGAACAAAACAATAGCAGCCTGGCTATCACTGTCTGACCTACCTTTTTTGCTATGCTAGGCTGGTGATCAAAGACAATGATTAATTCATTGTAACCATGTCTGCTCTCAACTTCCTGCTTTAATTTAATAAAAACAAAAATGTTGATGAGTGGTGAGTGGGTATGTACCCTGAGGACTTAAAGTAGAAACGGCTGGTTTTCATATATAAAAGTTTAGATTTGTGATTTTTTTTTTTTTTTTGGAATGTTAGCATTTAATTAACCTCCCCGGGTGGTTCAAGCCACAGGACACAGGCACCTCAAACACCCTTTATCTTCTCTTCAGCTCCTCTGCTGAAAAATTTGGCTTTCACGATGACAGGCTGCTTAGGGAGCTTCCCCTTCCCCAGGACTTGGTAGTAGCCCAATCACACAACATCAATGATGGGAGCAGCTCCAGTCTTGTTCTTGGCAGCATTGACCCATGTCTGCTCACTGATCAGTGTTCACAACTTATCCAGGTTGACAGTTGGGCAGAAGCTCTGGATCCTCTTAAGTGGTAATGCCTCATACCAACTTTTCCAAAGTAACCTGGATGGCACTGTCCCCTTTTAAAGAGGTTCCTTAAACGCCATCCTCTAACAGCTGGATAAAAGCCAACCTAACTTCGAATCTGATGCATGTCACTAACCTGGTGACTGACTGTGCCAGACAGTGTACAGCCAGTGAATAAGGTCAGCAGTTACTCTTTGAGGACTCTAGCACACTAAGGCAACAACCAATACCTGAGCGTGACTCTAGCCTCGGATAGATCTGTGATTCTTTTAAGTCTTTTTTTTATAAGATTACCTTTTGAGATAATGATAAAATGATTATTGATCCTTTTTTTTTTTTTTTTCTCTTTTTCCAGACAGGGTGTCTCTGTGTAATAGTCCTGGCTGTCCTGGAAATAGCTCTGTAGACCAGGCTAGCCTCAAATCACAGAGATCCACGTGCCTCTGCCTCTGGAGTGCCAGGATTAAAGGCATGTATAACTACCAACTTGTTTTGATCCTTCCTTTGTAACGGCAAAATGAAGCCTGCTGGTAAAAGAACTTACGAGAAAAGTACCTTACTTGTTTACACTTTGTTAATCTATAATATGCTTGGACATGAATGTATATGGGTTCTTGAGATAATTTGTTTTTCACCTATAATACGTAAAATGTCTAACCATATAAGGGAAATGGGAAATACAATTTTTTAACTTGTATTCACATCATAATCATTCACTTAAAAATAGAATGCAACCATATTGTAATTTTTATATTGCTTGAAAGATTTTTGTGGTATATAAGCTGTAAAGGAAAAAATAAAGAGACACAAAAGGGAAATAGGATAAAAGAACAGAACAGAAAAAGAATACAGTAGAACAAGCGACAGAAAGAACAATAAAATAAAGAACTAATCTTTGACCCTCAGAAAAGTCCTCATGTGTTCTGTTTGTCCAGTACTTTGCCTGCACTATATCCCCTCTTCAGTTTCTATGTCCTGCTGAAGGCTTGCCATTCATCAGCACCCTAGGTGAGATCCTGGCATGTTGGAGGTGTGTGTGGGTGTGTTTTCCTCTTTCCACTGGCCCCAGAGAATTAAATTTTGCCCCACTCGCCGGCACCACAGATACAAAGGTCAATCAAGTGATTAGTCCCACAGACTCTATGTCTCCCCTTCAATTCCCAAGCTACTGAAGGCTGGTCTTTCCAGCAGCACCTAATCTGAAATTTCTCATTCAGGAAGCAGAGGCAGGAGGTTCCTGAAAATTCCAGGCCAGCTTAGACTACAAATTGAATTCTAGGCCAGTGTCTTAGTTAGGGTTTCTACTGCTGTGATTAAACACCATGACCAAAAGCAAATTGGCAAATTGAGGAGAAAAGGGTTTATTTGGCTTATTCTTCTGCATCCATCATCCATCCCTAGCTTTCTTGGCCTGCTTTCTGTTTTTCTTTTCCTATTTATTTATTTATTTATTTACTTACTTATTTATGGCAGAGTTTCTCTGTATAACAGTCCTGGCTGTCCTGTGATGGGAGATGTAATTCTGTAAATATGTTTCTCTTATTGATTAATGAATAAAGAAAGCACTGTTGGCCAATAGGAAAGCAAGATAGGTGGGACTAGGAGAGAAGGAGGATTCAGGGAGAGATAGGAGGAGATTCAACATGGAGGACGGAGACAGTAGAGAGTAGAATGCCAGGCCCTCTCTCCAGTAAGATAAGACCACGTGGAAATACTTAGATTGATAGGAATGGGTTAATATTTAAGACAGAACTAGCCAATCTAGCCAATAAAAACATGTTAGGAACTGGCCAACAGCTTTAAATCTAACACAGCGTCTCTGTGTGTTATTGGGGCTAGCGCAGCCGTGGAACCAGGCCAGTCCTGAAACTTGTTTTGTAGACCATAGCCTTATAGAACCCAGGACCATGACCTGTCCAGGAGTGGCCCCATCCACAATGGGCTGGGTCCTCCCCCATCAATCACTAATTAAGAAAATGTGCTACAGGGTGGCCTATAGTCTGATCTTATGGAGGCATTTTCTCAGTTGGAATTCCCTCCTTTCGATAACTAGAACAGCCAACCAAACTACAGTAAAACCCTATGCTAAAAAGTTTGAACCTCTAAACCCAGCACTCAGGGGGTAGATAGAGGCAGGCAGATCTCTGTGAGTTTGAGACCAGCCTGGCCTAGAGTGAGTTCCAGGACACACAGGGATACATAGAGAGACCCTGTCTCAAAACTTATTTTAATCATGAGCCAGAGAAATGACTTGCTGCTGCCAAGTCTGATGACCTGGGTTCAATTCCCAGAACCCACACGGTAGAATTAAAGAACCAACTTCTGCTACTTGTCCTCTGATATCCACAAGTAGGACATGGTACACACCTGTCCCACACCAAAATAAATAAATGTAATTTTAAGAAAAAGAAAAAAATAAACTAGCTCAAGGTCCCACAAGGTGCAAACAGGGCTGTTTCACTTAATGATCCTTGCTCTTCTACTACCTCTGCTGACCCTGCCTGTGCTCCGCCTCTGAGGCCTGTGAAGATGCGCATCTTACCTTTTCCAGTCACATAATAGGCCCCCAGCTTGTAGCAGCTGTCACTGTGCCCATTGTCCTCACAGTTGAACTTTAGCACCTTGGCGGCTTCCTCAAAATTCTTCTGGATTCCCTCCAGATAGTCCACCAGCCGATAGCAACCTAGGAGAGGGAAGAGATGCTCATGCCAGCAACTGCTGTTCAGCTGTTCAGGGAAACAAGCACAGTCAGATCCAGTCCAGCCCCTCCTACAAGGAACCATGTCTCCCCATGGCCAGCAATGTATGGATCAGGAAGACCGACACCAACAATGCTCCTCCTTCTGATCCTCATCAGCCCTCTCTGGGGTCTCAGTGGTAGCCAGCCTCTTAGCATTCTCAGCTACATCAAAGACCATTTCTCATTCACTTTAAGTCAACAGATAGATAAACACATATGCACTATCTTGTGTATGAAAGAATATACCAGATACACAACTGCTGGGAATATTGTCCTTTGCTTCTTAAAACTTATACTCTAAGCCAGGCATGCAAATTCATGTCTATAATCCCAGCACTCACAAGGTGGAGCCAAGATAAGGAATTCAAGGTCCTCTACAACCTAGTCAAGGAATGCAGCTCAGGCTATGTAAGGACAAACTATAATAAGGAAACTCGATGTTTTCAAACAATAAGTGTTATAATTGAAATAAGCCAGGATGGAGAAAGTTTGTTGTGCATCTTAGGAGAACGGTGAATAGTTTGGGCCACTAAGGACTAGGACAGCTGAGATCTGACTATGAGGAAAGCACTAGCTACTTAAAGACAATGAGGATCTGCAGGCGTTGCTCCATGGCAAAGCAGAGTACAAGGTCCTGGGTGGTTCCATCCCTAGACATCAAGAAAGACAAGGAGATGGAAAGGGGCCAGAAAGTCCTGGAGAAAGAGCCTGTAGATAAAACAGGTAGAAGAAGAAATTAATCTTTCACAGATATGGCAGGATGTATATGCAGGAAGGGAAGACCCTATAAAACATCAGTGCTGGGGACTGAACCTGAGCCTCTCTCCATCCACACTGGGCACACTACAAACTACAGACTACAGAAGAGCTCATAAGAAGGAAGTGGGGGCTGGAGCCTTGTGCACCTCGGTGGTACTCACCAAGAGTGTGGGAGGCCCTCTGTCCAATTCTTATCCCCACAATACAAGCAAGCTACCAACTGAGATATCTCCTACAAAGAAGGCAAGTGAGAAGATTTACTTTGCCTTTGTAAAAACATTACATGGGTGCATATGTTTGCACCTGTCTGGATGACTACAGAAGGAGCTAACTGGTAAGAGGACATTCGACACTGAAAACAGTAATAATACATATATAATAGTAATAGTAATTCTTAGATAACCTAGGCTGAACCAGAACTCATTATGTAGCTGAGGCTGTCCCTGACCCTCCTAGCGTGCTAGGATTACTGGCCAGGCATGTGCTGCCATACCCATGTAGTACACAAGGTAAACACTACCAACTGACCTATACCCCCTGTCCTCAGCCAGTTTTTCACATGGCTGTCCACTCACACTGCTCAGTATATTACAAACATCAACTACCATGAACTCCTCAAACATGTTTACAGAATCAGGTCTGAATTCCGTACTTAAAAGGCCAGACACTCTGCAGAGCCCAGGTTCCCTGTACAGACTTAATTCTGGAACTAGAGATAGAGCGCAATGGTGGTAAAGTTGCACTCAGCAAGAAAATTCAGAAGCCCGGGTTTCAGCTCAAGACTGCCAAACAAAAATTATTTGACTTAATTCTGACAGATCCTGACTTCGACCTTCCAAAGGAGAGCAGTGTTTTCCCATCTCTCCTCCATTGACTACAAAACTCACCCCTGTAGACCATGCCCAGCCATCCTGCTCCTCAGGGACCCCAGAGGGCCAAGTCCTCTGAAATTTCTCTTCAATTGGGACATGGACTAGCTACCAAAGAATAATCCTGGCCTCCTCATCCACACAGTCACTCTGTAGTGGACTAGTTTCCAGAAATATTAGCCATTTCCTGGAAACTAGACTACAAGCTACTGGAAGGGAGGGCCAGTGCCATTTTCTTTCTTTTCCCTTAAATAAATAAAACACTAGGAAACAACTCAAAGGCACTGGCTGCTTCTCTCAATCATCCATACACTCGACCATCTCACTGCACACAAGGGGCCATTTCTGCTTCGGCCCTCTCCGTTAGCTGTTGTTACCTCTGCCTATGAAGACCTACAGTGGTTTGTCTCCTCCTTTAAAGCCTTATTCAAATGCCATTCCACGGTGTACTGCCCTTCACTCAGTTCTCTTATCCTATTTCACCTTTTTCTTTTAAGATTTAATTTTAGCTCAGCACTCAGGAGGCAGAGGCAGGCGGATCTCTGTGAGTTCAAGACCAGCCTAGTCTACAAGAGCTATTCCAGGACAGCCGCCAAAGCCACAGAGAAACAAAACAAAGATTTAATTTTGTGCCAGGCAGTGATGGCCCAGCACTGGGTGGGCAGAGGAAAGTAGATATCTGAGATCTACAGTGGGAGTTTCAGGGCCACAGAGAAAACCAGGCCAGCCTGGTCTACAGAGATAGTGCCAGGACAGGCTCCAAAGCAATACTGAGAAACCCTGTCTCGAAAACCCAAAATACATAAATAAATAATGTATATGTATGTATAAATGCAAGTGGTGCGGAGGCCAGAGGCATAGATCTCCTGAAACTATAGTTACAGACGCTTGTGAACAGCCCCACGAGGGCAAAAGAGTATGCGCTCGTAACCGCTCAACCATCATCACTAGTCTCCCTCTCCACTCCTTTTTTGTATCCAGGCTGGTCCTTAACTCCTGAGCTCTAAGTAATCCTCCTACCTCGGCCTCCCGAATGCTAGAACTACAGGTGACACCAAACCTGTAATTTCACTTATGAAACCAGATTTCACTTATTTCCTTTGCATGTTATCCGATTCTCTCAAAGACAAGTAAGCCGAGGGTCCTCACACCCTAAAGCCGACCACTCTGGCCAGGTCTGGCCTGAGGGCTCCGCCCCTCCGCAGAAGCCCCGCCCCGGTACAACCCCCAAGTCCCCGCCCACAGCCCGCGAGTGTCCCTGACCGCGTCCTCAGGTGTCCTCGGCCCGCCACGTGACCGCGCCCTAGCCAAACGCTCGCGCCCCTCCTCTGCGTCCCCGGCTGCGCGGGGGGCGCTCACCGTCCGGGTCCTTCTCGCGGTAGCACTGGTAGTGGCATTCCACCTTCATGTTCTCCAGGAAAGACTTCACCTGTTCCTCATCCTGGAAGTCAACCAAGCCCGCCATGGCTCTGACTCTCACAAACCGAGCGCGGGTCCCGCCTCTCGGCCACGTGAGCCGGCTCAGGGGCGGGGCTTGCGGCGCCTTGCGTGACGTCAGCGCTCCGCGCTCCTAGGATTGTCCGCCTCTTCCCAGAAGCCTTTGCGGTGGCCCCCTCCTTCTTTTCTTAGTCTTTGTGGATGGCTACTTCTGCCTATCTAATGCGATTTTGTTCCTTCGTGATTTTTCTCCCTGCTGTTCCAGTTCTAAAGCCGAGACAGCTGGGATCTCCGGTCCTGCCTTCTGAGCTCACCGCCAAGGGCTCTTAGCACCGCAAAATAAAGAACTTGAAATTAATCGGGAAAGCATTTGTTTATTCAGGCAGCAAACATTTTGAGTATCTTGTGTGTCCCACATATGGCTGGAACAACTGACACAAAATAAATCTCTGTTAGTGCCACGGAATGCATTTATCTCTATATCCTTTCTAGACCCCCTCCATATCACTAACATTAATGATCTGGGATAAGAATGTGGCTGCGAGTGATGATTAGGACATAACAGCGGTAGGGATGGGATGATAGCTAGTGCCGAAAGAGGAATATTGAATCCGGGTCTAAGAGCTTTACACCAGTTAAATTACCTGCAGTGAAAATGTACGTATAACTTCCCCATCTGCAGACCTGGAACGGGTTCAGAGAGGTTAAGTAACTGGTCCAGAGCCATACAGCAAAAGACTTGGTGCACAACACTCTTAAGAGAAAGAATGAAGATATTGCTCGGCGATAGAGGGCTTACCTAATGTGTAGGAATCCTGGGTTCAATCCCCAGTGCCATATAAAAAGAGAGGCATGTCAAGATGGGGGGGTTAATCTGTTTTCTGTTTGTTTGTTTTCAAAACAGGGTTTCTCTGTGGTTTTGGAGGCTAGGCTGCCTGGAACTAGCTCTTATAGACCAGGCTGGTCTTGAACTCACAGAAATCCACCTACTGCTGCCTCCTGAGTGCTAGGACTAAAGGCATGAGCCTCCACCGCCCCACAATTCAGGGTTTTTCAAGATAAGGCTTCTCTGTGTAGCTAGCTGTCCTGGAATTCACATGTATACCAGGCTAGCCTTGAACTCACAGAGATCTGCCTGCCTCTGCCTGCAGAGTGCTGGGATTAAAGGCGTGCACCACCCACCATTGCCTGGCTGCAATATTCCACTTTTACTTATGGTTTCTTTTGTTGTTTTTTCTTGGCATAGAATCTCACTGTGTAGCTCAAGACTACCTTTTAACTTGAGACAATCCTCCTGCCTCAAGCCTTACAGATATAAGCTACCACATCCAGCTCACCATATTATTATTATTTTTTTTATCCCTGGCCACTAGAGGGAACCCTCAGAAAACATGCCCTCCTGGGAAAGCCTGTCCTTTGATTTTGAGACTCCCTTCTTAGCATGACCTTCAAGGCTCTGTGAAATCTCATCCCATCCTCTCAATAAAGTTTGACAGAAACAATTGCCACACCAACCCAAAATAGATCTAGAAGCTTCTTCCTTGGTGTTTCATATTATTTGATATGTTCTGTATATTTTGTTATGAAAGGATTAGCTTTGGAGGGCACACAGATCTTAGCTGAGAATCACTATCCCACCCTGAGGATGGAGCTCAGCGGTATAGCTCTTGTTCATCATGTTCAAGGGCCTAGGTTCAATTCCCAGTGCAACAGGAGAAAAGAGAAGAGCCAATGAGATGGTGTGGCACAAACTCCCCTCCCCCACAAGCATATAAATGTAGACCATTTTTTTAAAGACTCTATCCTTGTCCAAAAGCTAGGTGTAAAGGCTGGAGAATCAGAAGTTCAAAGTCATCCCGTTTTTATTTTTCTTTAGGATCATCCTTGACTATATACTAAGTTGAAGCCAACCTGAGCTGTGTAGTGAGACTCTGTCTCAAAAAAACAAAACAAAACAAAACAAAAAACCAGGAATAACAACAAACAAACAAATCCAGGAAAAAAGTAAGATTTTCAGTTCCATATTTATTAAATTGTGAGTTTGGGCCTCACTCCAATTCTGTAAACACAAATGTATTCCCTCGTGTCAATGCAACTAAAAGATCTGTGCATGCCATGTGATGTGCATGTGCCTGGTTCAGGAAATTACTGTTGCAGAAATGTTTCTTGCTAGGCCTGGAATGACATGAAAGCTGGTGTTCCCACCCTCCCCCAGACTGATTTCTATATCTCTTATGATGGTGAGAGGGTCAAAAGTAGAGGAACGGGTTGTGGTATAACTCAGTGATAGGGGGTTTACTGGCATGTTCAAGGCCCTAGGCTGGATCCCAACACTATGAGAAAGTAAAATAAGAATAGAGCAGGGTTCAGTGAGGATGGTATGGGTATTTAAAGTCAAGGACTGTCCACAAGAACTGCTTTTCACTTAGTCTTATTCATGGTGTTAAACTGAAGTGGAATGAGACCATCTGAGCAGTAGAGGGCAGTAGAGGGTTGATTAAAAATAGAGGCACTACCAGGACAAGTACAAAGTCACACAATCATGGTCTTTGTTTTGGTTTTTTGTTTTTGTTTTTGAGACAGGGTTTCTTTGTGTAGCTTTGAAGCCTCTCCTGGCACTTACTCTGTAGATCAGGCTGGTCTCCAACTCACACAGATCGGCCTGCCTCTGCCTTTCAAGTGCTGGGATTATAGGCATGTGCCACCACCACCCAGCAATCCTCTGTATTCTTACAAATATTCATGTTCACTTTGTAAATGTCTCGTTGCTTGATGAATACATTGATCTGTGTTTATCACAGGTTGGTCTCTTGTTTTTAGCTAATAACCCTTTTCTCTAAGCGTGACTGATGTACAGCTAGTACTGGTGATTCAAGCAGGAGAACCAGAGGCTCATGGTCATCCTTGGATATTTGAGGTCCTATCTAAAAAAAAAAAAAAAAAAAAAAAAAGTAGTGTGACTTTTATAAGCAGACAAAATAGTAAGAGCACTTATTAGAAACATGCCATTGGGTTGGAGAGATGGTTCAGTGGTTAAGGACTGAATCATGAGGCACTAAGATCATATCCCAACACCTACATTGGACACCTGTAACTCTAGATCCTTGGGACTTAGTGCCCTCTTCTGACCTCTCAGGGCACTGCCACTGGTGTGCATACATTCACGCAAACATGTACCAGCATACAAGAAATAAAAAGAGTAGATAAATCCTTTTTGAAATGCCATCTCTAGACATATTTAGTCATTTTCTTTCTTTTTTCTTTAATGTGTGTGGGTGTTTTATTTGCAAGTACAACATGTATGCTTGGTCAGAAGAGAGTTTCAGATTCCCTAGATATGGAGTTGCATGCAGGCTGTTGTAGAACACCATGTGGGTGCTGGGAATCAAACCAGGGCCCTCTGGAAGATTAGCCAGAGCTCTTAACCACTAAACAAAATCTCCAGGTCCCCATATTTATTCTTACATGCTGTTTCAGGAGAAGCATTGATATCCATTTTCTGCTAATGTCCCAGTTAGGGTTTCTGTTGCTATGATTATACACCATGACCAAAAACAAGTTGAGGAGGAAAGGGTTTAGTTGGTTATGCTTCCACATCCACAGTCTATCACTGACTTAAGTCAGGGCAGGAACTCAAATAGGATGACAGTCTAGAGGCTGATGCAGAGGCAATGGAGGGATGATGTTTCTGGCTTGCTCATGATGGCTTTCTCTACCTGCTTTCTCACCTAACAGGCCAGGGATGACCCCATGCACAATTGGCTGCATCCTCTCATATTAGTCACTACTTTAAAAAAATGCTTTACAGAAGGTTCACACTGCAAGAAAAGCTAGGAAACAAGGAGAACCCTAAGAGAGACATACATGGTCCCCTGGAGAAGGGGAAAGGGACAAGATCTCCTGAGCAAATTGGGTTTATATATCCATATGGCAGCTCACTGCAGTCTGTAACTCCTGTTCCTGTGATTCTGGTGCCCTCTTCTGGCCTCTTGGGGCATTGCATACACATGGTTCACATACAGACCAAAAAAAAAAAAAAAAAAACCACTTATATACATAATTTTACTTATCTTTCTGTCCTACCCATAAAGAATGAATAAACAACTTTTTTAGGGAGACAGACTCTACTTCCATCTCACAGATGTGTAAACTGAAGATAGGTTGCTTGAGTCTTCCCCAAACAGGAAAAGGCAGAACTGAGACCCTTCTAGAATTTGAACTGTCTGACCCCTGACCCCAGTGGTCTAACTTTTTGAATACCAGCTTGATCTACATAGTGAGTTCCAGGCCAGCCAGAGCTACAAAGTGAGACTCTGTCTCAACTAAATAACCAACAAACAAATAGATAAATAAATATACAAAAAAATCATTCCTTGTAGCAAACATTCTTCCAGGTTTTAAATGTACATCAGTGAACAAACAAAAAAAAAATTCCCTGCTCTTGTATAGATAAATCTTAGCAATGTTTGAGACTGATTTAAGATAGTTAATGTAGATGATGTGAAATTTAGTGTGACACTGACACATATCACATACTAAGCAAATAACAATTGTTTTTAATGGGAAAGGAGCCTGAAAACAGAAAACACTCTGCATTACATTAAGCTCGGGGATCTTGGGGGCAGCCTTGGATTTACTTCTACATCAATAGAACTTACTGCAGAACTTAGGGCAGAGCAGGGCTTGGCAAATATTGGAGAATGCAGGATCCAAACGCAGAGATCAACACTGCCGTTTCCAGCCTTTGCTAAGCTGTTTTTAAAGCTGATGGCTCAAACATAAACTACATGCTCCAGAAAAGCCTTCTGTCCCTCATTGGTATATTTGTGGAAAGGTATCTTTTCAACACATCACGTGTTATGATACACCTGAAACATGGTTGGTGCGTTGGTAAATTAAGTCAATGAATAAGCACCTTAACTATAGAGAATAGAAAGATTTGAGAAATTTCAGGCAAGGTGATGTACACCTATAATCCCAGGACTCAGGAGGTTGATTCTGGAGGATTGTGCATTATAGGCAGGCAGAGGCTCTATCTTGTTTTTGTTTTGTTGAGAGGGATAGGAGAGGAGGAG